ATTTTATCTTTCGTTTATCTTTTAACAAGAAAAGAAGAAGAAGAAGAAGAAGAAGAACATTTTTCTATCGTTTCGCGAAATCTCGTCAAAAATATTCGTCAATTATTGAGATGATACTTGTTTTCTATTTTTTATTCAAAATCAAATATAATATTCATGTGATCGHATTATGATATATTAAATACTATAACAATCATTGAAATATTTTAAATAGGAAAAAAAAAATTTTATATATAACTAAAGTATTATTATTGTTAATTTATGTGGTTATATAGGATAAAADAGAAAAGATAGCTTTAATAATTTTCCGGATGTTATTTAATATGAGGTACTAAATATTTGTTACATTGTAAAATCGTAGAAGAACACTTTATCCTTATTAAATATTACATCTTTGGTCTTTAACATTGATTTAATTTAATAATAGAGTCTTTGATAATAATAATAAAATAAATTAAATTAACATTATTTAACAATTTTATTTATTCTTATATTATAAGYATTGTTTGTAATATTTGATAAACGTTTTTACTGATTATTTAATTCTAACTCATCTTCATTTACTACTTGTTCTCAAGGCATATCTCAATATCTATATAATCTATGTGATCAAAGATATTCTTCTGGATATTGTGAACCRGGAATAACATCATACTCCAAATCAGCAATTTCCYGTATTTGATATTCGATGTCATTRTTTTTATGATGAATGTCGTCGGCTAGGTCATAAGCAATACGATRTTTTTTATCACGTATAGGTTTAYTTTGTTTGATACAATWATTAAATGTGTAAACATAGGTTTGATCTTGAAAACTTTTCGCTTTAAGTTCTAACATTATTSCAAATTTTTTTCGGTCTGTACAATTATAAATCRAATTGTCTATTTTCATATAAAAATGCCTTGTGCAGGCATTTTCGATGATTTTATTTTCCTTGATCATACCGTTTTTGATACGTAATTCCTCTATCATGTACCACTGGAATACATATGATAATTCCAATATTCGTAATGTACGGTACAATTGGCGAAATAATTCTAAATGATCCATTTCATTAAATACTCTCATAATTAATGTACAATTATTATATACAAATGCATTATCGGATGGATTTGTCATCTTTCTTATGGCGCAAATTTGATTATGCATATCACGCACAATATCGTCACAGTCTAAATGATCGGCAAKTATAGAGGGATCTTCAAGATAACATTTTGGCAATCTAAGTTGAATATGGCATATTTTACCGTTAGAATTASATGCAATGTTATCAGGCAACCTTAATGATTGTTCAAAAATTAATTCTTTCGGAAACTTATTGGTTAATTKTCTTCTATGCACATATTTTTTGATTATTTCACACCATTTACAACTGTAGTCTTTAATGTCTAGAGAAATTGTTGTAGCTTCGAATGTTTTRAAAATAGTGTCACATACGTTTAGATAAAAAATCATGCACAGTGACTTATAACTAAATGAATCCACTTCTGAAACGTTTGTACCGTCGTTATATGTACGAAATTCGTACATAACACAGGTACATGTTCCACTATTACTAGATGAAGGCATCTCCTTTGTGTCCATATTTGCGAGATGAATTATTGTCAGATATAATTTTTTTAACTTTTTTTTCTGAATTAAATTAATCTTAAATTCTTTTCAGAAGATCTCGCGTTTTTCTTTTTGTTATTACAAATTTGTCGTATGAAACTCACTAGACTAAGTAGTACTTCAGAAGTTGTAGCAATTTCTAAAGATGGGTAGCTGATCAACTAAGAACTGAATCAGAGGGATTGAAAAGGGTCGAATATGTACGTTGTAAGTACTAAGGAGAAGAAGTTATTTACACTAAAATATTAGAAAAATGGAAGAAAACGATCACGTGCTTTGGTAATAATTTGGTAATAATGATATYCTAATCATAAACATCCTTGTTTCGATTCATAATTATTTCTAATTTATTTATGTTTATTTTATTCTTAATATTTGTTTGATGGTTGTCGTACACGAAAGTTTTGTAATTATCGCAATAAAAGCAAATTTTTTTATTTTCTTTGGGAAAAACTAGAATACCGGTTCTTTCCCAGAAGATGGGAACACTTGTATTTCCTTTACTAAAAGAACACGTGCATTTGAAATGTTAAATTAATTGAAGGAATTGAATTATTGTAAACAGGTATCAAAATGATATCTTTTGTTATTTTCTAAATCGTTTTTCCTTAGGTAACACTTATATTTTCATTTATATCTAATGTTAGAAAAGATTTTGATGTATATATAGGATCACATGTACATATGTAATATACTTGTAAATACGTATGCAAAGTTACAGTTAAGTAACAACTCACGCACGAAAAGTAACTCACTTTGCAACGCGACAACCTGCCATGCCACCGAGGAATACACACACACACACACATACACACATAATTAACAATTAGTTTGAAACACTTTTATAGGTCGTATATTCTTGTTTTTGTTCTTTGTTCCTCTTTCCTTTTATGTATTCGAAAATATGTTTACTTCAGAAAGCATCGGAGAGCATTGGGGAAAGGGAAGGGGACTCGGATTAGCCTTAATTTTCTAAGGATAAATTTGTCTTTATCCTAAACATACATTGTATACATATATACAAACATATGTACATATATAGATTGATACAGTATATACAGATTTGTATATACTGTAGGATTTATTTGATTTGAATTTGAAAAGAAAGAAAGAGAGAGAAATAGAGAGGGTGAGTTAGAACAGGAGGGGGGGGGGTGAAAATGTTCGGTGTCCCGCAAACGCGAACCGAAAGTGCAAAACTATGGAGACTTACGAGGCGAGAAGCGGATTTATGGGGAGGTAGAAGAGAAAGAGAGAAAAGATGAGTAAGGTGGGGTGATGCGTGGTTGGGGTTGACGTAGGGGTGGAAGAAGAAGAAACAGAAGAAGAGAGAGGGAAAGAGAGAAATTTCCGTGTTACCTGACTACTTCTTCTAACTATATATATATATATACACATATATGTATACGTAGATGCTTATGTGTAGTATACGTATAAAGGAAAAAGAAGGGGAGGGGTTAGACCAAAAACATTTCAAATTCGCATCAAGCCCAACCACTGTGCACTTTCCTATAACCCCAACACCCCGTTCCCCTTGGCCACCCCCTAACCCAACCACAGTCCCATTTCCATCCCGACACACCACTTTTACTATCCCACTCAAACCCTCAACGAGCTACCGATAATTCTAAACTTCTCCAATTACTCTTTCTCGCATTCCAATGTGTACTATTGGTGATGGTAATGGTATCTCCATAAAGTTAAATACGAAAAGTGAAAAATATTTTTTGAAAATAGAAAATTCGATAGAAATTTACATCGATACGTGGTTTTTCATTTCTTTCCTTTTTTTATGTTATTATAAATATATTTAATTCGTCAATGAATATATATATATATATATATATAATATACGTGTTTCGCATACAAATAAGCATTCAAAATTCTAGACTTTATATCGTATTGATCACGGATTGAAATTGTAAATTTATCCTTTGCCATAAATAAATTACAACGAGTAGAAATAAAAACGGAAAAAGATAGACACATATATATGTATATGTATATACATCTACATATAAATAAAGATACTAAGGACGAAAGAGCTATTCTCGTTCTCGTAGAAAACATAAATAACAACACGGTCCTACCATTCATATCGATTTATGGTTAATCTTAAATATTCGTTATAATAAACCACCAAGTTCTAAATTTTCTACATATCAATATATTTCTTACTATATTTTCTTTACTAAGAATAAACTATAAGAAATATTTACCTATTTGTTATATGTTATATTATATAGGTTATGTTATATTATATAGATTATATTTGTAAATATTTCTAGTTACAGTTATAGTTATATAATCAAATATATTATTATTAATATATTAATTATATTATTTAATATATATTATTATACTATTAATAAAAATTATAATTTTTATATAATTATTATTAAAATATTTTTATAATTATTTATTAAAATTTTACTTCCAACTATTAAATATAAAACATATTACAATTATTACAATAAAATATAGAAATAAAATTAAAAAACCCTACAATATTTGATTTTATTTTGAATATAAATTTTATTACAATGATAAATAAAAAAAATTTATACAAAATATAAGATGAAAAAAAAAATCAAATATACTTCTCCTTCACCCATTCACCACTTATCAGCAATAACTAAAAAAATTATTAACAAGTGTGTATACGATATAATGATTAAAAACTCTGACTATAATAAAAACAGTAGTAGTAGTAGTAGTAGTAGTAGTAGTAGAAGTATGACGATTGCCTCTAGAATATATTTAACCACCGAAGCATTTTAATAAACGTCCAAAATGATCTATCACCACCCCCCATATATACACAGTGTTGTAATGATGGTGGGATGATGTGTGGTACTAGTCATGAATATAACAGTCTCTTCTTGTGTATATAGTGTGTTTCCAACGTTCTATAACAGTATACAACACAACGTTGACAATATTGCACAATTAAAGCATAGGCTTTAACGTCAGTACCTCATCGTTCGGTTTCCATCCCCAAAATTTCACCATAGATTAATAAACCTACTGCTGTGCCATATATTTATTAGTATTTTACTAATAATAATATCATTAGAAACACATTAATAATAATAATAATAATTATTATTATTATTATTATAATATTTATAATATACTAAATTAAAGTGTAGAATATTTGAAAAATTAAAATTGCATATTGTTTGTTTATAGTTTATTTATTATTTAACTTATTAGAAAAAAATTGTAATATAATAAATAAATAATTGTAAAATATTATTGTTGGTTGAAATAATTTTTTCATGTATTTAATTATTAATTATAATATTGCATATATATATATATATTACAGTATATATTATAAGTTTGATTATATGTGTGAATGATAAAATAACATTAACAGAACTTACCAATAAGTTTGCCGAATTGTGCCGGTGGCTTCCATTCAGGGTAATGTCGTGGAAATCGTGCCCTTGACCAATAAGTTCTCAGAGTGATCTTATACAATGCTAATTTGTCTTGCCTATCCTGCCTTTCTTGTCTGTCTTGTATAGATGATCCACATTGGGCAACTACCAATAATATATTGGAGCCCAATAAAAATGTTGATAGCAATGGCCATCTTATCCAAATCCCACGAAACATCTGTCAAACATTTGAATCAAATTTGAAATATTAATTACAAAATATAATACATTTTTTTTTTTTTTGTATCTTTTTGATACAATCTCAAATCTCAACAGTCTCAAGATTAATTGTTAATAATAATAATAATAATAACATTTGTAATATTCGTGTGAACAAATAATTAATCGTTTAAACGTGTTGTTCGAATTGAAATAATTTTTTAATTATTATAATGTAATTAAATAAATTAAATTATAATAAATATGAATTTTAATATAATAACAATATATAAAAATAATAATTAAAATATATATATATTTTTTATTTATTATTATTTTAATAAATAAAATATTATTACATAAAAATATGATATTTTGTTAATATCATTAATACAAAACATAAATTGGTGCACATTTAATTGTGTTATTTGAAATAATGCAATTAATTGTAGATACATTTGACTTTATATGCAAATGTGAACAAAATATTAATTAAAAAAAAATTCACGAACTCTTTAGGGGATATACCATAATATATATATATATATATTTTTAAATATTATTTCAGATGAAATTCTATTGAAAAAAAAAAGAAATAAAAATAAAAAATCGGTGTAATAAAAAAAAATATTTTCACTTCATTTATTCCATTTCATAATTATGTTCATAGATACAGGTAGTGAGAAGGGTGAAGGGTGAAAAAGTTTTTGTCGTGAAAACTTACATAGTAGATTTTTGTTTCATATATCACGAAGACTATAGTCTATCAAATAAGAAGTACGACCGTTAATTTACCTAACGAGCTGTCGTCCATTAAAACTCTACAGTGTGCCAAGTTAACGTGTGGATTCGAACTATCGATTTTCTTGGCACGAAGCCACTTTGTGTCAGTATCTCTCTCTCTCTCTCTCTCTCTCTCTCTCTCTCACTCTCTTTCTACCGCACCATCTCTTACATTATTATAAGTTTCTTCATTTTAAATTTAATATTCAATAGATATCAAACATATTAAAGAGAGACCATCTATAATTAACTTGAAATAATATAATCTCATTCATGACAGTTTGGTATGCAATTACCACCACCACCCCCTCCCTCCCCTATGGTGTGCAACATTACTTGATTCTAAATTATTTCACCATATACGAAAAATATTGCTTAATCTTTTTTATAATATAATATATTATATAAATAAAACAAATAAATATAATTAATTGTTTCAATTGATTGTATTGGCAAAATAAAAGTAAATTTTTACCAATATTATTAATTGATTCAAAACAAACGATTAATTTTCTAATAAACAAACATTTAAATAATTAACAATAAAATTAATCTTTATAATAATTAAAGATTAAATTCTTTTTTTTATATAATATTAAAAAATTAAAAATTAATTTTTATGGTAATTAAAAATTAAATAATTAAGAAAATTAAAATATTTCATTTATTTCTTCTTATAATAATTTAATATTATTATTATTATTTTATATTAATATTATTAAATAATATTATAATATTTTATATTAAATCATTAAATATTATTAGTTTAATATTAATTATTAACTTTTTATCATTTAGCAAAATTGATAAAATATAATTTTGATGGATAAGTGTAAAAAAAAAAAAATCAAAGTGGATTTTATAATTGGGAACAAATAAACCAAATAAACCAAATTGACTCGTCTGGATTTGTTAATCATATTATTTAAAAAAAAAAAAAATGAAAGATAAAAATGTCCAATTATATTTTTCTTCGTTTCTTAATATTTTACCCCCACCCAACTTCGTAATCAAAAGTTCGATATATTAAAAACTTATCTCCATCGTTGAAAACCAGACAGTTAGACGAAATTCATAAATCTTTATTCAGACATTCTATTGATTCTAAAAATAAATCGAATAATTTGTGTTAGAAAACCAATAAATCTCTCTTCGTAAACGTAATAGAAATGTTCTGAATTTTCTATCTCTCTCTCTCTCTCTCTCTCTCTCTCTCTCTCTTTCTCTCTCTCATAACTTTTATTGAAACGTTGTAGTTCATCTATGGTTAAACGAAGCTTGTTTCGAGTCAACATACCCCATTGGTGAATAGAGAAAAGGGGGTAAGTGACTTAATAAACTTTTTAATTTCAAATATTCTCTGTTCTTCGAATTGCAATTTATTGACCCCCCTCCCCCACCCACCCTACCTCCCTCTCCCCCTTCCCCCACCCCGCAATCTTATTCAAATTATCTTTCATGCATTCTATCAAGCAATATATTCACTGTCCCATCATTCATGGTTAAATTTATATAATATTATGGGTTTTTTTTTTTTTTAATTATTGTGTGATAAAGGTTTTAATAAATTTAACTTCAAAAAATTGTTTACACAAAAAATTATTTATATATATATATATATTAAATTATAACGTGCATATTTATATAAATATTATAATTTAATTTTAATTTAATATATATTATTAAATTATAGTTTATAATTTATTATATTAATATTATATATTATAATTAATTAATATATAATATATAATATATAGTTTAAAATACATTAGTTTAAAATATATATTAAATAAATAATATTTTAATAATCATTTAATAAAATATATTAAATAAATTATTAGAAATAATTTATAACACATCAAGTTACAATAGAATTTACAAATAAAATAAAATTACTAGAATATAATAACTAACTAAAATATAAAATAACTAATAAATTATTAATTATTAATTAGAAAAAATATTAATCAAAACTTTATAATAATTAAGAAAGAAAAAAATTAAATAACAAATAATCCAAATATTCAACACTTTGTTAGTTGCACGCTACTGTTAACAGCAACGAAAGGTAATAACTTTATACATATATTAAATATATATATATATATATATATATATATATATATATGTATATATATTGGATGTTAGAAGATAGAAAATAAGAAAGAGAGAGAGAGAGAGAGAGAGAGAGAAAATCGATTGTAGAATAATGAAAAGCTCGAGGAAAAGTAGGGGGTTGTTGGACTAGACGCATAAATTTTGCGAGATGATCTTTCTATGGTAAAAAGACGCAAAAAAGAAAGTAAAAAATATAAAAGAAAATAAAAACAAAGTAGTAAAAGAAAGAAAGAAAGAAAGAAAGAAAGAAAGAAAGGAAAGAAAAAAAATGGTTGGGATCAATCGGTGGGCCGAGCACGAATCACGAGATTAGCCTCGTAGCGGCATAGCAAATGGAACGAATCCCATATCGGAGAAAAGTAGTGGTGGGGGTGTAGTAGGGAACGAGGATTGGCCAGGTAAAGAGCTCATAGCGATCGTGTTCCTCTCTCTTCGATCGTACACCACGTATGTAACACACCAATATGTATTTATGTGTTTATATATATGTGTATGCGTATTTTATGTGTGTATTCGTGTTTCTATATGCCTATGCGCATTTTATGTACATGTGTATGTATGCATCTGTGTGCATATATATATATATGCCTGTGCGTATGTATTTATGTATGTATGTATGTATGTATGTATGTATATGTATGTATTTGTGTTTTTGTATAAGTGTGCGTATTTTATGTATGATGTATGTATGTATATTTGTGTTTCTATATGCGTGCGTGTATTTATGAACGTATGTAGGTATGTATACGTGAGTGCATGAACGTGTGTATGTGAGTGTGTGTGTTTGTGTGTGTGTGTAGTAGAATGCATCGTCACACACAAGGGACGATGACGCGTCGTGTTTACATATGCAGATTCGCGAGTATACTCAAAATTCAAATCACATTCAAATCGTTTCCGATCGGACTCACCCGGTCTAGCGAATCCACCAAATTTCATAGCTCGACGCGAACTACCAACTTATTCTTCATCAAACTATCTAGTCAAGAGAATAAAATAAAAAAATAAAAAAAAATAAAAAAAAGATAGAAAAGTTTGAATATGTGAACTGTGGTGTGTCATCTTCAATGCATTCGACATAAAACATTGAATTTTGTGAATCATAGATTTTGTTTTTTATACATCATTTTATTTATTTATTTATTTTTTTTTTTATTTATTATTCAGTTAGATAGTTTTTTTTATTTTACAAATTTCATATTCAATGGGAATTCACTAGATTGAATATAAGACATTTAAAACTTATGAATCATTGATTTGTTTTATACATTGTTTTATTTTCATGTTTTTTTTTTCTTTTTTTTTTTTTTTAAGTTAGATTTTGTTTTTTATAAATTTTATATTATTCTATTTCTTTTAATAGACTATTGACTATTATTAAATTTATTAGATTGTTGTATTCAGGTTGTTCATTTATTATTTTCTTCCATTTTACTGTCAATCAAGAAATAAAATAATAAAATATGAGGGAAAGAAAGAAAGGTAATAGTAATAATATCGACCAACTTCTTTGGATTGGTCGATCATTTATTGACCAACCAATAAGAAGAAGATTCGAATTTCAAGTTTGGCGCCAATTTAATTCACTCGAGTAAGACAAACAGGTTGTATTTTAACGAATACTAGACAAACAGCTAGTTAACGAAGCACAACCCCAACTGCCAAGTTTACTACTGGGGGTCTTTTCGTAAAAGTTATCAACCTGTGATAGTAGTGGTGGTGGTGGTGGTGGTGGTGGTGGTGGTAGGCTAATTAATCACTTTCCAACAGAAAGAGAAAACGATAGAATGAAAAAAAAATGTTAGAAAAAAAATACTGATAGGAAGAACGAACAAACTACCACTCTCTGTAAAAATAAAAATTAAAAAAAAAAAAATCTAGAAAAAACCAACCTTCAGAGTTTCGATTTAAATTTTTCTTGGCAATCCCGTCAGCCCGTTGCTTTTACAAACATTAAAAAAAAAAAAAAAAAAATTTCTTCAATTAGCCAAACGAACAACAAAACTTTCATTCCACGTGTTTTTGGAAATTGGAAATTACAAGATGAGAAGAAAATATTTATCCACCCTACGAGTACACACATTTTGTTTTTTTTCTTTTTTATATTCGGAATTTGTT